TAAGAATACAACATAGAAGTATATGTCTTATTAACTTGCTCTCTCTTTTCTAAGGGCTCGCGCTCTGCTTGCCTTGACAACAGGGTGAAAGTTTACGACACACTTTCCCCAGTGACACAGTCACCTATGCACCCATTGGACCTTCGTTAGGTTCTTTCAATTTTCCTCCACTACACAGCTGATACCAGCTCATCATAGACGGGATAATAATATGCTTGAGGTGCTGTGGTAACGGTTTCGTCCCCGCCATCCAGGAGAATCTAGAGTTAACTTAGAATAAATAGATGGAAGACAAAGTTGATTCTCCTCGTTTCAATTGTTCCTAAAATATAGTAAAGAAGTGGAACCAACCTAAGCCCCACCCAAGTGTTGGTCCACCCACCGCCACTGGATGTTTGTGGGGGTGGTTTTTGTGATGTACATGAAGATGATTTAATGACGATGATGTGATGGTAACAAAGCTTACAGGCCGGACTCTGATCTCTCAAGTTTAGCTCTAATCTAGACTCTAGATTAAAAAATTAATTTCACACTGTCTTTCCATTTTTCGTCCTTTGGGAATCTGAAGAAAGACAATTATTTAGTTTTTCCTCTGGAATTAGAACGACCGATAGCTGAACAAAACTGGCCAGTAATGCCGACAGCATGAGCCATGCAAGTCTCTCGCCGTGTTTGTTTACATACTGTCGCACGCTCGCCGCTAGTGGCGCTAGGAGTCGACGTGCCTCACAAAATTGGGCCACTGCAGCATCTTACCGTAGGCTGAACTATCTTTGTTACAAGTGAGGGAAAAAGTATGGTATTCTTCCCATAAGCGAATTTAACTGTCAAAAACAAAACAAAATAATAAAGATAGACAGAAAAGAAAAGAAGAGACATTCCGTTCACAGTCACCAGAGTAAAAAAGGTTGGAACCATCAACAATGAGACCAGATATTTTAAAAGTTTGATTATTTGAGTAAAAGAAACACACCGAAACAATGTATGGTCATCTAGTGCAAGAAAAGAGTGAAAAAGATAGGTGGAAACAGCAAAGGGAAAGACTGGAAGTAGGACCTACTAGTGGCACCCTCCAACCACCTGCATATTATCAGGGAGATTCAAGCAACTCACTGTTAGAGTCAAAACGAAATTTTAAAAACCCCTACAGAGTCATTATCAATATCAAAGTGAGCAAAACCACAGCACTGTTAAATCTTTGTCTTCCTCAAGTGCCCAATCTGAAGCAGATGTCTGTGATCATGGTTCAATACTCATTTCTTTATTCGGCCGCTTTAAAAAACACAACCATACATTATTATGACCTTTTCCCATCATCAATCACTTCAAGTTCTCTAAGTAAGTTAATTTTTTAAAATCTACCTCTGTCTCTTTTGCCTTCCATTTTTTTCAATCAGATCAAGTAGTTCAAACCGGCATTGTGGTGTAGTGGTAGGTGCTTTGTTGTCACATGCAGACGATGTGAATTTGATTCGCGTGTGGGGAGAATTTTTATCCAGTATCTCCTTACTGCCGGCATCTCCTGTTGGCAGGGAAGCTGTACCCTACTGAATCCAAGTCGGCCCTGACAGAAAGGGGCTCAGCTGTCCACATTCTAAATTATCAAAATAGTGATGATGGGGGCGTAAAACTTCATGAATTTGTTTTTATAAGAGTTAAAAGAATATGAATTCCAATGTCCTTAGAACTGCATTTATCTCTTCAAAATTGACTTACTACTTGTTAATCTGTCCCCGCTTTAATTTGCAAATTGCAACTCCAAAATGCCAAAATTTGCCCCCAAAAAGGCCAAACTTGCCCAAATTTGCCTAGAAATTTGCATTCAGAATCCATACAGACAATTGCTGCTTACCCCATGAAACAGACATACTGAAAAAGACTGGTATTTTTCGTTGCTTTTTTGTTTGTTTTGAATTCATACATTCTTTTATAAAAAGAATATTAGAAAGCTATATATTATATATACATCATCTTTACACAAGTACAGTTTATCAAGAAACATCCCAATGGAACTGAAACTAAAGCTGGTAAACTGCTACATCAATCCAATCGTGTCCTATGCTGCGGAAACTTGGACAATGTACAAAAACTTAGTGAACAAGATTGAGGCTCTTGAAATGTGGATTTTTCGCACACTAGGCAGAATCAGCTGGAAAGACAAAATCATATAAAGCTGTGATGCAAAAACTTAAACTTTAAGTCAAAAGAGAAGTACTACGATACCGTATAAAGAAAATTACGAAAGACAAGGCGCTATGGTTAACGCTGCAACAGTGTACCAGTGTCAGCAGTAAAAAATAGTAGCATAAAAAGGATTAGAATAGAGATCTAGACTGCGAATGAAGTTCAGAACGAAGGAAAACAAATCTGGCAGACTTCCAAGGGCCTGATGTGAAATTTGAGTTTGAGAACGGCTCAAAAGAAGGAAAATATTTCTGAAAACTACGTTTTTTGTAAAATTTGTGGTAGTTTGCGGAGAGCTGCGAAAGTCGCGGCCGCAAATGATTTGTGGTTGCGAAAAACCGTGATGACAGGTTAATTCATCCACACATCAAAAGACACTCTAAATATACCACACAAGTGACCAACATTAACATAAACTAAAAAAAGATGTCCCACCTTCCGCTTCATGTTTTTTCAGAACCTTCTGGGCCAACTTGTGACATCTCTCATAGTAGTCAGTCACTGTTTCATCAAGGTGAAGATCATCGACTGAGACAAATGGTCTAGGAAAAAAAAGAGGAGAACAACATTTTTCACAGATAGCAAGCAAGGTTTTTAAACATCACTTTGAGTGACAAATAATTTTTCCTTTCTTAAAACAGTAAAAGAAATTAAATAAAACAGATAAACAACCTCATTTAACCAATGCACAGTTGTTTCCTACCCCAGCCAATCAGAATATGCATACACAAAATACAGTCAGACCTACTTAAATGGTCACCTGTCGAAGACAACCACCTACTTAAATGACCACTTATTACTTTCCCCCTTGCATTTTAAAACATATTACAGACCTGCTATTCTATGAAATCTAAAAATCAGGATCTCAAGGGGGAAAAAATTTGATCTGGGGAAAAAATCGGGACCAACGACAATTCACCAGGGTGAAGCCGACTTTAAAATTTACAATGGGTGTCCATAAATATATTTATGAAGGTAGAGTTAGTTTTTAGAAAAATCTGGCGCAACAGAAGGAACAAATAAATCAGGATACACACAATCAAAATCGGGACACCTGAGATTTGGGGCAAAAAAATCGGGATATCTCGATTAAATCAGGATGAGTGGCAGGTCTGCATATTATAATGACACTGTCCAAGAAGTTCACTTGTCTAAGACAACCAGTCTTCTTCTTGACAATGGATGGCCATCTTGAACAATTTCGAATGCAATCAAAGCAATGCCTATGGTCACTGGAAACAAAATAAACGACCAATTTGATGCTCTAATACTATCTAATAGTCTGCAGACAAAGTCATACCTTACTAACAAGGAGACCTTTTACACACTGCATGCCCTATTCAAATTTTGTTACCATACACAATCACCAATGTCCACTTAAACAAAATGTCCAAATGCATCATGTGTGTACCCATTTTGGGCACATTACACACATGCAATCACAATCACACAATCTCAAAACACAAACAGAACAAGACAAAATTTTATTTTGACAACATCAAGGAAAATAGTACACCGACGTCATGCCCACTGTCAGTGTAAAACTCCATCACATGCTACTTTTCAAAATGGCGTCAAGCAGAGCCTTACACTACACAGTGATTGTGGTTTATAATCTTCCTCCTGACACTGACCTCCCCTTAGCTTGATTCTCCCTTTCTTAACTAGAAAAAAATACTGTCCTTTCCAATAACAAAAAATAAGTCAAACTTGTGAGACCAGAGTACAAAACAATATTCTCTCACTGTGTATCCCTTCCAAACCATCTTAAAAATAAAATAAGTTCAGCACACTAAGAAAGAGAACAACTTATCAACTCCTCACTTGTGCTGTACATTGATGTTGAAGCCACAATCAGCCAGATGCTTTGGAGACAACCAGTTGGGCATTGCATTTTTGTACCATCCAAACCATTCAAATGCAGTTGGTTCAATGCACATCGTGGCATTATTTCCCATACCTGGTCAGCAGAGACAACAACAATATCAAGTATCAATACTGAAGGCTAAAGGGTCTTTTTTGTTCTTGTTAGAGTTTTAAAGCACTTGCAACACAATTAGGTCATATAAGTGCCGAAGATAAGAGTTGTTACAAGAGAGTAGCAAAGACAATAAATAAGGAGAAGAGATAAGGACAGTAGATAACTGATAGGAAAGAAAGAGCAAACCACACCACAGCACCGGCTAACCACCCGCTCACTCACTCTAGGAAACATTTTTGTAGTTTAAAGTAAAAAAAGAGAAGGCCGAAAAAGCAGGCCAAAAGAGCAAAGCTAAAAACTAGTCCCCATTCAAAATCTTAAAAACTGGAGTCTAGTAGCAGATTAAAAAATTATGAATGCTTTCACAAGAAGAATATCATCCCTGTTGAAAGAGTAACTCCCATATATACATAAGTAGATGTAATACTAGAAAAGAAAAATCCTGTTCCATTTCCAAAACAAAAAAAGTTCAAAACCTGAAAATCAGGGTCAAATGAAGATATACATTTTTTTGGTGACGAATCAATATAGTTGACCACCCTGAAAGATACCCTACATTCTGAGTGGAAATGGCCAAATTTGTAAACATAAATTGTTCTCTGGTAGCAAAAACCAAAGGACGAACTGTTGAGATTTTGTGTGGAAGAAGAGAACCCTGGGTGTCCAAATCATCATCATCCAGTGCCAGATCTGTGACAGACATCTGCGATCATGGTCCTCCATTTATTACTTTGCTCGGATGCTCTTAAAAAAGCTACATTTTCCTGATCTTTCTCCGTTACCCATTTGTTTAGGTTTCCAAAGTAGGTTGCTCAGGGCTTACCCCTGCCTCGTTTGCCTTCGATTTAGTCCAGATAGTAGCCTGATAACTCTATCAAGAGATTGGGAAATAATGCAAGACGCTCAACTTGAAGTCCTGAGCACAGCGGTAAGTAAAAACAACACACACGACATGTAATGAGTAAAAACAGAGACATGTACAGTTATGACAAAATGACTGAAAACTGAGAAATTTGCTATAATGTATAAAACGGATCTGCCCTTCGAAATTTCTTATTAAAAGAGACATCATGCTTTGATCTAAAACACCTGAGAGCAGTCAGGACGTTCTGCTCATCAACTTTCCTTGATAATAAAATCGGAGCCTATATTTTCTTATAAAAATGTCAGTGTCAAAATCCCATGTACACTGAAAGTTTAAAAAGTCCAATTTATATATAATGTTCGGACACTTTGACAATCATTCATATTGTTATGAAACCAGTTCAGACTTTCAGGTATTGGTCTCTACTTGCCTTCTATGACATGCTGTGCAGTTTGAACGCATCTTAAAGATGGCGATACGTATATGTGCTGAATGTCCACTCCGGCACGCTGAAGTGCATCCCCTGTGAAGAGATTTGTGTTTTTGATTTTAAAAAGCTCAAGAGCACAGAAATTAGAACTACCAGTATGTCAAACACTAAGTCAGTACTATTCTGGTACAGTAGACTATGGTGTCTGAGCTGTTTTGATCTACATTCTATATATTCAAAGATGATAAGGCTCGCTTGGAGATAAGAGATAAGTTAACAGAAGGTCAACATTTCGGTATTCTGTCTGAGCCATATCAATATCAGCCTTACCTCTGCCCTATCAAGAAACAATAGCAAGTTTTGCTGGCTGAGCGCTGAGTAGACCGATCATACTGATAAAAACAGCTCACTGTGTGTAAGAAGTATTACTGTACTCTTTCTCATTCAACTTATACTTATTATATGACTGACTGTGCTCTCCCTGGAGTAAAAGGAAAGCAAAACTTAGGCTGCTTGTATGCACAGAATCTGTTTGAAAATTGATTGAGAAGAAGCATGTTGGCAAGGACGTTGAACATAGAATTAAGGAGTCTCCTTCAGAGTGCAGTCAAACTTTCTCTGACAGCCATGTATAAGACAATAGCCTGTATAAACGGCGACTTCCAATTTCACCCGTCCTTGTGTGTTTTTTTAACAATAAAATGCCACTGTGTAAGATGTCTACATGTCTAAGACTTTTCTCCTCCACAATGGGCGGCTGGCCTCAAGACAAGTTCAACGGTATAGAATATATATATGCATAAAAAAACACCAAAAAAATCCCAAACCCTAACAATACAAACCGGTGGATCTAGCTTGAAATCTTCCTATTTCTGTCAAAGGGGAATCCTTCAGAAATTGTTTGTGAGAAGCTCGTGGCACCATTGCAGGGGGCAGGTTCAGATCACTTTGGGTGTAATTTCCTGAAAGTATGAACAATCTTAACAGTATAATCAACATACACACATATTATCTTTACAGAGGAACTCTACTAAGTTTTAAGCAACTGCTAACATTTTAAAAATTATTTCGTACCCTCCCCACCAGGTCAGTGTCCTGTTGTGATGTATGTCATTAAGTCAAGGGAAGAAAAAATGCTCAGTTCACACCACAGGGACAGAGCTCATGAGTCACTGTTTGACTTTCTCATTGTTTGAAATACTTCAACACTGAAAGCTGATGCCTGTTTCTCTAGCTCTTTCTTTTGCGATTATATTGTAAGTAAACACACACACACACAAAAAAGCCATTTCATCAGTCATAACACAATTTTTTGTTGTTTTGAGAAAACTTTAAAAAACAAAAACAACATTGCTAACAACTAAAAACTAGCATAGTTAAGTAAGTACAGTGGTAACCTGATATAACATTAACAGGTATGGTGGAACCGAGAAAAAGTTCTGTTATATCACAAAACAGATCCCTGTTAAATCAGAAATGCAAGGGAAGTAAGCATTTGTGGACTAATCCAGCTGTATTTATTCATGGGTCGTTTTCCTTATCACAAGTACCCGCGGACAGCACACCGCTTGTGGCCATGTGGCAGGCCTACGCATGACACATTACGCGTGCATGTAGCTAGGCTTTGGGCAAGATCGGAGTCTGCAGCACATCGCAGATTTCTCTCGCTTCATGTGCATGTGCTTGCAGTGGCGTGGCTTGCGTGGGCTTGCTCCATCACTGTGTTACTCTCTCTCTCTCTCTCTCTAACTTTTTACACATTGTAAACAAGCCTTTGTCCCTGCTATATATATAACTGATTTGGGCTCCGATGAAGCCCTGTTATTGCCGATAACTGTTAATAGAGACAAAGAGTAGGAAAAAAGGGGGATTTTAAAAATCCCTGTCATTACCGGATTCCTGTTATTACCAGGCCTGTTATATGGTTTCCACTGTAGCTAGAAAAATAGCATAGAGCAAAGTAAAAGTAGACACATGGACCATGAGGGAAGAAGCACACTTGAGTGTGAAAGCTACAGATGAGTTGCATGAATCTAAACAAAACTAATTATTCTTCAGTGCTGAACAAAGCAACATTCTGCTAGAGGAAACTCCCACGAAGACTGTTTGATAAAAACTAAAATCTGTCCAGGACAAAACTGACATGTCTTTCAGCATACCTTTGTCATCAAAACATCGATTCACCCATGATCTTCCAAAAGCAAAATCACAACGTTCTCCGTGTCGCATTACAAACAAACGTCTGCCTATATCACCATTCTCAGTCTTCGTCTCGCTTTCTTTCTGAGGAGAGCGATGCTTCTCAGCCATCTTCAAGTGTCTTATCTGTCAAGAGAAAAAGTACAACTTACAAACTGATTAAAACATCAAGAAAAAATCTCTGCGCATAAGGCCCTATTTTCTAAGAAAACATGGTAGGCCTACTTTGCTTTTTACTTTACTGCCTCCTCTTGTATCGTTAGATATCCAGGGAAGGACTTCCGTAACGAGCGATCACCCCAATAAAAGCAATAAAGAAGAGACCTAACCCTCACCCTGACCCAACCCTACCCCAAACCCTATACCTCTCTTCTACTCTCTTTCACAGTTAGTTGGGTAAATTTGAAGATTAGCAGACCACCTGCCGGAACTACTTTTTTGGGGACTAAAAACTGTCGCAAACTAGATTTAGAATCTAGATTTAGATATTTGTGACTTTAGCAGGGGGGCGAACCCCCCTTAATCTTCCCCTCCCCCCCCTTTTCTGAGTGTTCTAACACCCTATCCACACCCAGCGCGTCCTAGGACTTGGCTAGCGGAGTAGTGGTGGTCTGCTAATGTTCAAAGAGGCCCATAGTTGTCGCTCCACTCCAGTCGCTACGGAATTCCTCCCATGTCCAGGGTGTGAGTAATTTTAGGTCAAGGAAAAGAGGCAATTCTCACCCCAGGTGAGAGGCCAACAACTGCGCTGGGTGAGAACAGAAGTGGTCTTTGGCAAAGTCAAGGGCAAGGTGGGGAGGACTTCCGTAACACGCTACCACTATGACACAGAGGAGAAAGAGGGGTAGGGGTAGAGTTTAGGTAGATCTAGATCTAGGTTTGAGGTAGGATTAGGGTGGGTTAGGTCTCTTTTTTAAAACATATTGTGTTTTTTTAGGTGGTCACTCGTTACGAATGTCCTTCCGCAAGGTGGGTAGCTTTATTACCTTGTAATGTAAACTGAAAGAAAATAAAAGGCAGGCGCTATTTGCAACGCCGCGTTCTGAATAGCTCCCGTGCTATTTGAAACGCCAGTACTAGAATCTAGATCTAGATTATCTAGATCTAGATCTAGTAGCCATCGTTTCTACATAATAATAATACTGTAGTTCTGCCTGAATTGTGGAAGCTTTCTCAGTTTCTTGATAAACCTCCTATATTATAGGATTTGACTCCTCTTTTTTTATGATGTTGTCTTATTCTGATCAATATTGGGTTGATCTTGATCTAGATTCTAGATCTAGAACAATTGTTTCTGACATTTTGAAAGCTTTCTCAGTTTCTTGATAAACCTCCTATATTATAGGATTTGACTCCTTTTTTATGACGTTGTCTTATTTCGATCAATATTGGGTAGTTCTAGAGATCTAGATCAGATCTACAACAATTGTTTCTGACATTGCTTGCACAAAAGTAGACTAGATCTAGACGTAGTCTTGTTCATCTCTCATATCATTTGAGTTTGAGTTTGAGCAAGTTTAAGTCGAAAGACGCTTGGATAACAATAACAAGACGGTGCAACTCGAAGCAGTATTTCCTGTCCGCAGTGTCGTCATACAATAGATATAGAACCTACCTTAAAATATTATCTTTAACTTTAAGTTAGGCCTAGAGAACGTATAGAATCTACAAAAGTTGTCTACGTTCTCTAAGTCTAATGTTCAGTGCTCCCAAGCGTGGCATCCCGGAAGGGTTTTTTTCCCTTCTCCTGAGCCTAAAATAAAAAAATAATAATAATGAGGCTCACAGACCAAGGAAAGCCACTATACTATTGAACTTTAACCAGGCCGAAATTGGTAAAAGGAAAAGTATAGGCTATACTAAGGCCTACTTTGTACAGAGCTCCTCTTGGGGACAAAACTAGAATGTGCACGCTTCACCACTACAAAAAAATAACTACAAAACAACAAGTTCTAATTATGGGAACAAATTGTTGATCAGTCGAGAAGAGGACAACAACAAACAAAACAAAAACAAAAAAAACCCCAAAAAAACAAAAAACGTCCAGGACCGGAATCGAACCCACGCTAAAAAAATACGAAGAAGTGATTATTCGGACTCGAGTCCGAATATGAAAAAATGTTATTCGGACTCTGATTCTTGTCCAGCATGACATCACTTCCAACTTCCTGTGACTCCGGCTTCCTGTCCTGCCTCACTCGTGACTCGCCTCAGGCTGGGTAGAGACCGGGATCACTTCGGGCAAAAAGGCGTTTTGTGCAGGAACCGAGTTTTAATCTTATGATGAATTTGAGGCCGGCCTGAAAAGTTATCGCTTCTAATAAATGTTTATTTGTCAAGAGGTCATCAGAAGCAATTAAAGATGGCTCGTTAGCGTGTGTCGGGGTCGGATGGGCGGCCTACACACGTGTGGCTGTGTGCGTGTCGGGGAGGGGGGTGGCACTATCGTTCCGGGCGTTGAACGTCGCATACGCGTCAGTCTTTTTCCCCCCGGCAACTGATCATTATTACAATAATAAGCTAGTCTTGACGTAGATCTACGTAATGAATTGTGCGCTGGTCTATGGAATCAAAAGTTGCTGTATGCTCAGCTCTACACAGCAACACAACTTTTTCTGGATAAACAGCTCATAATATGCAGGTGCCAGGTGGTCTGCTAATCTTCAATTTCACCTTTTTCTACAACAAAGAAAGTGGGAAACATGGGGGGTGGGGGAGGCGTATCAATGAGGCGGCGGGCATCGGATCGGCAGAAAAGTAAAGGTGTGGGGGGGGCTAAAAAATGGCGGAAAATTGGAAGCACTGAACGTTAGAACTATAGAACGAAGACACTTCCTTTTTTCTGGACCCGAGTCTGAATAACATTTTTTCATATTCGGACTCGAGTCTGAATAATAATTTTTTTTATTCGGACTCGAGTCCGAATATGAAAAAATGTTATTCGGACTCGAGTCCGAATAACGACGGCCAAAAAAATAATGGTTTGACTTCAACTTCTAGCGCAGACGCGTTGTCAATTCGACCACCAGAACTTACGATAACGAAGTGCAGATTAAGCTTGATATTTTACACACAGCGACACAGCGTTTTATTTAGCACCGCCGCTAATCGCAACACGTCGTTTTAATTAGCACTGGCATTAATCGCAACGCAGCGTTGCAATAGGCACTTCCAAAATAAAATTCCCAGGCCCCAACTTACTTACTCCTCTACTTTATTTTAGATATCTAGATTCTAGAGACTAATCTAAGTACTCTGACTTTGGGCTCCTAATTTAACCCAAATCTCAAGTTACTTTGTCATTTAGGACCTGGTCTTTCCCAACCCAAAAGTCCCCTGTCTTTGAATATTATTAATTTTAATTCTAATCTAGATCTAGAATTTAGATTTCAGTACACAAAGTCATCTTCCATTAAGTTGTATAACTCACCGGTTAAAATTCAGTCACTTGACTTGTCACAATAAGTCCTATTCCTGCGCTGCCTGTCTCTGCTAGTGCTAACCCTGCTTCGAAACAGGCCTGTTCTATTTTCGTGGTACTTTTTAATCTAGTCTTGGGGTCTTGGGTACTTTTTCTGCTTGCAGCTGGGAGATAATAAAAAAGGGCGAATCTACTGAACCGTATATACTTTTCCAAGCGCTACAGACAGGAACGCGACTGTTTTATCATAAGATCATACTTAAAGAATAAATATTTTAAGCTGCAAGCGATCAAATAAATTGTGAAAATAAAAAAGAACGAAAAAAACCTTTCACTCAAAAAACTTACATAACAATGTAGAATCTGATCTAGATCTAGATCTAGAATCTAGATATCTAGATTATGATAAATTACTAGGCTGAGTAAATTTATAAATTCAAGAAAGTTAGTGGTTTACATCCATTCAAGTTGACCTCTTCAATGATTTTAGTACATGGAGACATGGTAAAAGAAACAAGAGTTATAAGTTATGGCTTTCTTCGGTAGTTCCCACCCCGCAATTGTTATTCACGGGTTTTGACCCCAAGAGTAGGGGGGTTTCAGGGGGGCTTGCCCCCCTGACCTAACAATAATAGGAAGGGGGGTTTCAGGGGGGCATGCCCCCCTGAATTTTACCACAATTTAATGTTTTGCTGTTGCTAGGTTTGATATCTTAGCTCACCGCGAATCAAACGTATAGATCTAGAATCTAGATGTAGGTCAGGCTCAAATAAGGGGGGTGGGAACTACCTAAAAAGCGCCAATGTCTTTTCTTTGCATCTAATACTTTTCCCTCAACACGGTCAAATACCATGATGACATCGCTAAACTTCGTTTCACTTACTTGCTTCCACTTCCACGTTTTAGGCCTACGTTTATCTTATCAACAACAATGGCGGCGCCCAGGGGGACGAATCGTCAGCTATCGCCGGCTTTACTCAGAAATTGCATATTAGTACTTTGTTTTATTGGGTTATGCATATCATTGTTTGCTCTTTATGTGGAGGTCATCAAAGAAAAAAACCCAGACTATGTTGCTCTTTGTGATGTAAACAGCTATATGACATGTTCCAGAGTTTTGACTTCCAGGTAGGTTTTCTAGACTAGACTCTCTAGATCTTGAATGTCTTGATCTAGATATAGATCTAGATTTAGTAGAGACTAGACTAGACTACTACTAAGGCTAGGCTCTAGACTCTAGATGTAGATCTAGATCTAGTAATCTAGATCTAGTCACTTAAGTACGGCTAGACTCGCAGTCTAGCCGTACTTATTCTAAATATGATGGCTAGACTGACCATTTACAAAAAATAGAAATAACATTTTTTCATATTTGGACTCGAGTCCGAATAAAAAAAATTCTTATTCGGACTCGAGTCAGAATATGAAAAAATGTTATTCGGACTCGGGTCCGGAAAAAAGGAAGTGTCTTCGTTCTATAGATCTAACGTTCAGTGCTTCCAATTTTCCGCCATTTTTTAGTTTCCCCCACACCTTATCTGCCGATCCAATGCCCGCCGCCTCATTGATACGCTCTCCCCCCCCCCCCCACGTTTCCCAGTTTCTTTGTTGTAGAAAAAGGTGAAATTGAAGATTAGAAGACCACCTGGCACCTGCATGTTATGAGCTGTGTAAAAAAAAAAAGACCGATTCGTTCAAATACACAAGCCTGTGTCATATCGATTGTTTACCAGGAAAAAGTTGTGTTGCTGTGTAGAGCTGAGCATACGGCAACTTTTGATTCCATAGACCAGCGCACAATTCATTACGTAGATCTACGTCAAGACTAGCTTATTATTGTAATAATGATAAGTTGCCGGGGGAAAAAAGACTGACGCGTATGCGACGTTCAAAGCCTGGACCGATAGTGCCCCCACCACCCTCCCCGACACGCACACAGCCACACGTATGGAGGCCGCCCATCCGACCCCGACACACGCTAACGAGCCATCTTTAATTGCTTCTGATGACCTCTTGACAAATAAACATTTATTAGAAGCTCTATAACTTTTCAGGCCGGCCTCAAATACATAAGATTAAAACTCGGCTCCTGCACAAAACGCCTTTTTGCCCTAAGTGGTCACGGTCTCTACCCAGCCTGAGGCGAGTCACGAGTGAGGCAGGACAGGAAGCCGGATTCACGAGTCACAGGAAGTCGGAAGTTATGTCATGCTGGACAAGAATCAGAGTCCGAATAACATTTTTTCATATTCGGACTCGAGTCCGAATAATCACTTCGAAGCCGGAAATAACACAGAAAGGTCAAAGTTGGCCTAAAACATCACCCGATATGCCAGAATGGAAAATGGTATCATACTGGAGTCAAAGAAAAACGACAAAAATAAAGGAATTATATAACACACGTACCTTGCCTTAGGGGATGGGGTACCATTGGGACAGATGGAGGAGAAGGTTGTATTGAGGGCTTGCTCGTTGTCCCCATGGATCTCCCTCCACAAAAACTCGTCCTGGTGGGAATCTTAAGTTGTGCGGTGTACTCCTGCCTTCAGCTTAAATAGTCTTTTACAATTTTTCCAAAGGCATTCGACCCTGTTGGTGCAAACACCAGTGACAGGGTCAATGAAATTCCTGCTGTGTATGACAGTCAGGTGTTAGTATGGTGGAGGTATGGTGGATTTACAGGCATGTTTCCTATTCCAACATATGCCTGCCACCCGTCGGAGTGAATGACTGTCCCAGGTGCTATACAGCGAAGGATGATGGGCAGCAGGGTTGCTGCTGTGCAGTCTGGAACTAGTTCCAAAAACCTGCGTCTTGTGTTTCTATCAACTCCCTCAAAAACCCACTGCTCCTGCACAGCGTGTCAAACGTTGTATTTACGCTTGGCCACAAGGCTTTCATCTATTTCGACGATGTGTCCGGGGCCCCCTATCAGGTATGGGTTGTTAACTAGCCAGTTGGCGCAAATATCTCTACAGTATTGGAAGGTTGCACCACGGTTTTTTCATTCACACCAACTAACAGTTGTGCAGAGTTTGCTTGAGCCCCCCAAAAAATAAGTTGCAAAATTTTATGTAATTTTAAGTTGGAGTTTAAAAAATATGAGTCTTTTCTTAAAGAAATTTTAACACTCGTATGCGCTGGACAGCGAAAAACTTTCTCCTCCCCCTGCCGGATTTCACTAAGCTCAAAATGCGCCCACATTGGGCCACATGTTGTACAGTTCGGTGGGTTTACCCGCAAAACATTGTGCTGTTGAAAAAAGTTTATGGCACCAGCTTCATCTCGTCCATGTTCGAACAATAAGTTCAAAGCCATCGAAAAATTAGTAAAAACATAGCGAGTCACTTACCATACAATCAATTACTTTTTAAAATCACAACAGATCAACAGTTTGTATTGTATGATTCTTGTTGAAAAAGGGCAAAACATGTCGTGAATGGAGTTACGGTAACTTTCATAATTTTTGCATAATTTTGCATTTGTCTTGTATAATTTGGCTATCTAAATTTGCATAATTCTGCCGGGACAGAGTGGTGGTGGAAAGACCCTGAGTTGTCGGTTACCGTGTACTTAGACAATGTAGCAATGCCCACCGAGCGCGTTTTGTTCTGCCGATTTTTGGCCCCCACAGCGGGAGTGTTTCGTGGGACGCACTAACGCAAAGGTTGTTGTCTTCAACTCGTTCTCACGCCGCTTCTCGTGAATGGATATGAATGAAACTTGGCAGCCAATCAGAAAAGAGGTCAATCTCGTAGTATGCAGTTTGACACATTGTACCCATCCTAGAAGCAGTCGAAAACATTTGCGAAAAAGGTTGATGTGGTGCGCTTTGAAGATTTTTCTGAGCTGGGATTTGTCAAACTGACTGATACGTTGTACACCATTTTTCTTTATTCCCTTAAAATTTCAGTCTTCTGTGTTTAGCGGTTTTGGCGTAATCTTTAAAAATGTGGGAGTAACTAAGGGAAAAAGCGGCATTGCCATTTGCGTGTGCTGGGTGAACGCCCGGCGGCTAGGATATTTCCACTGAGTGACGTCATCAGCCATCGGTCGCCTCGGGCGCTACAAACGAGGCCCCGCTTTTGTGAACCGGAAAAGGGGGGGGGGGGGGGGGA